CGCCTCGCGCCCTGCCGAGCCGGCCGCTGTTCTCGGCGCCGCGCCCACCCCCTCCGCGCCTGCCCTGCCCCGGCCGGCAGAGCGAAGCGCACGCCGTTACTAGCTCGGCGCCACTGCCTCCAGCGCTGCGGGCGACCCCAGGCCAGGTCCCTCGACCCATCCCCCAGGCTGCCCCCTTTCGCTTCACCTGCATCGCGGGGGTCCGGCCCAGGAGGGCCTTCGCCCGCAGGAAGTGCCGGGGGAGAGACGCTGCTAAGGTTGTGAGAGCCCAGTCGCGGAGATGTGCAAGCACGTGCGGGAGGTGTAGGTGGCAGAGCGAGTGCCCGCATCCCGAGGAGAGCCAGGCTCAATGGAGAGCCCGAGATCAAGTCTCGAACCTTCACTAACCCCTGCGTGATTAGGGTCAAGTCTCCCAGGCTTCATTTTCTCCTTAATCATGTTGGGAGGACTCAAGGAAATAATCCAGGTAAAACCTCAGCACCGCACCTAGCCCCTACCAGTTGGTGGTCTGGTGACAAGATCTCTTAAGTAGTTTTGTTTAATGGTGAAGGACCAAGGGTTCTCAAGAAAGGGCCATCCTGGTTCCACTTCTTACAAACTGTGAAACCTTGGACAAGGCACTTAGGAGCATCAGTTTCTGTATCTGCAAAATGGGGAGACCAGCAGTACTATCTCACAGGGCTGATGTGAGCGTTCATGCATTTAAGTCCCTGAGCGCAGTGCCTGGCACACACCAAACTTCACTGGTATAATTCTGGCCTTTTCTTTTTTAGACTCCTAAAAGTTTAATGAAAGGGCCTCTGCTCTCAAAGCCTGTGGTATAATTAGCTGGGAGTTCACCCAACCTTGGGGCTGGAGGGACTGTTACTTTCCACATCTTCACTTTCCATTCTCTGCTCCAAACCTCTCTGAAAACCCTAAAGTTGGCAGAAAAACAACAGATGAGAATGTTTTCCCTACTAGAAGAGAGCCTCCAAGATTCTCTTTGAGTTTGTAAATGGTTGCAAACTCTTCTAAAGGACATTGTCTTAATCTGGCCTCTCAGATAGTGACAGAAAAGCCACTTCAACCTGGATCTCAATTAAAAAGCCCTGGGGTGGTCCTCACTTCAGGCATAGCTGAACCCAAGCACTTAACTACCTCAGTCTTTCTCGAACCTCTCTCAGCTCTGCTTTCCTCCGTGAAGACTTCATTCTCGTGCAGGTTCTTTCCACACAGTAGCCCAGGCAGCTCCTATCTCACATCTAAGCAGCTTGGCCACCAGAGGAAGCAGGGACTGTTAACCAGTAGTTCCAGCCAAAGTCCCAAGGCTGATTCTCACTGGACCCACTTCGTTCACATGCCCCTGCCTGAGCCAATCACCATAGCCAGATTGGCCAGACCTGGCTATATGGAGCCCCTCTAGGAAGGGGATGGGGTCATCGTCTCCAGAACGACATGGGTAGAAGGAGTGGGAAGAAGGATGCCTACCCCAGGAAAATAGGGAAAGATGCAATTACCAGAAAAGGCATCAGGTGCAGGTTGAGGCAAATAAGAGCTGTCCACTGCACCAACATCCTGGCATATGGTGAGTCCACCATATGCCCATTCTACAGAAGGGAAGAAGGGGAGCAGCAGTGGTGTCAGCCACTGGGAAATGCCCCTCCACTTCTATTCCTACCACCCTGCCCAGGCATGGCATTCCTCAAATCTACCTGGTGAAAGGCATCCCAATTACCCATTTTGAATGCCTAAAAAGGAGCTCTTGACTGAACAGATGATGTCACTTCTCTGCTCAATAACATTCTATGGCTGCTTCTGGCTACTTATCTAACATTGGTAGGGATCCATCATCCAACACTGATGGCTGCCTTACTATGTGCCAGGCATGATACCATCATAGATGGTTGGTACTCTTATTGTGCCCATTTTACAGATAAGGAAACAAAGGTTCAGCAAGACAAGGTAACTTGCCCAAAAGTAGTTGGGAAGTGCAGAGCTCAGGTTAGCACTGTTGAGTCTCACCACTAATGCTGCCCTCTTGCTCCATTTGCTTGGGATTTGAAGCCCACCTCCAGCTAAGAGGCTAGTGGGAGGACACATACGGTGGAAGGACCTTTAGGAACCCCGTCAGCTTTGGTAATGGGGGGCATAGACCTAGCTTTATCATATTCCCCCCTACTTCACGGAGAAAGGAAAATAATTCCCCCAAATGAGAGTGAGGTTAGGAAAAGGAGTGAATGCTGGATGGCCTCTGACCAGCAGCTGATGTCTCCCCATTGGTGAGTGTATTCATTTCCTATGGCTGCAATAACAAATTACCTCAAACCAGGTAGCTTGAAACAACACAAATTTATTCTCTTACAGTTCTGGAGGTCAAAAGTTCAAAGTCACTTTCACTGGGCCAAAGTCAAGGCAGGGCTGGTTCCTTCTGGAGGCTCTGAGGGGAGAATCCGTTTCCTTTTTCAACTTCTAATGGCCACCTGTATTCCTTGGCTTTGTCCTCTTCCTCCATTTTCAAAGCACATCACTCCAATCTCTGTCATCACATCACTTCTCTGAATCCTCCTGTGAGTGACCCTCTTTTAAGGACCACTGTGATTCCATCGGGCCCACCAGATTATCCAAGATTATCTTCCCATCTCAAAATCCTTAATCACACCTATTAAGTCCTTTTTCCCAGGTTGTTGTTGTTAGGTGCTATCGAGTCAATTCTGACTCATAGGGACCCCGTGTGACAGAGTAGAACTGCCCCACAGGGTTTTCTAGGCTGTAATCTTTATAGAAGCAGATTGTCAGGTCTTTCTCCTGCAGAGCTTCTGGGTAGGTTCAAACCACCCACCTTTCGGTTAGCTGCTGAGCACTTAACTGTTGCACCACCAGCGCTCCTTCTTTTGTTGTACAAAAGTAACATATTCACAGGTTCCGAGAATTAGGAAGAATACATCTTTGGGGGCCATTATTCATTACCACAGTGATGCTGCCCCAACAGGGGAAAATGCCCTAGGAAACCATAGCCTCCACCATTAAATATTTCTCTCAGCTAACACCCATCTAATTTGGCAATCTCGGTGTCATTCCTTTAAATATGCAAACCACCTAAATCTCTCCCTCCATCAGGCCAGCCAAGCCTCAGAATGTCTGCACACCCTTTTAATGGATGCTGCCAGCCACTGCCCCCGGTGGCAAAGGGCAATGAGCTTTGTGCCCTTGACCCCACCCTGGCTGGAACACAACTGGCACCTGAACCAGGCAAAGTCATAAGAGAAGCAGAATCAGTGGGTCAGAAAGAGAGAAGAGGACCAGCCATTAGAATAGCCTGGACTCCTAATGACTCCCAGGCCCAAGCTACCAGTAACCTTGAAACAAATCCCCTTTTCCCTGAAGTAATTTGAGTGGGCTTCTGTTCCTTGCCACCAAGATGGCTATATTTTCATGGATCACAGGGCTGTCCCTGCAGCCAGCCTGCAGGGACTGAACACTTTTGATGGACAGACAAAAAGAGTATTTGATCTTCTTGGCAGTTTACCACTCATAACAGTTGAACACACTGGCATTCAAGATTTAGACATCATTCTATTATGAGTTTTGTCAGCGTAAGTCTACATCTCTGAGTCTGATCAAATATGGGACTGAGGAAATGAGAATTAGTTTTAAAGTCAGAAAGACCTGGGTTGGGTCACAGTTCTGCCACTTACTAACTGTATGATGTTGGACAAGTCACCCTACTCTTGGCCCCAAGCTTGGGTTCCTCACATATACCATGAGGACCTAGTTCATAGATCATTGTGAAAACTAAATGAGACCAGCCACAGGCAGGGCTTTGCACAAGGTCTGGTCAGTACTGGGTTGACATGACCTTCTGAAATCCAATCAGCTCTGAAAACCATAACTCACTTGGCAGAAAAGCCTGACCTGAACTGACGTGAGTCTACTTAAAGTCTTTCTCTATTCCTCTTACTGTGAATATCTGTTGCAGAAATATTAATGTGTTTGATTATCTGCTGGGGCTGTTACACAAAATACACATACAAGCCATGTCACCTTCCTAAAATTGGAAAAATTCTGAATCTCACAACTTATCTGCCCCAAGGTTTCAGAGATTGTGGGCCTGTATCTTCATGAGGGTGAGGAGGAGGATAAGAATGTAAAACTGGCCTACGGTAAATGCACCCAGGTGCCTGCCGCCTTAAGAGGACTTTAGAAGCCAGCCACTCTCTACATAGGCTACCCTAACCTTGCTGCACCCCTTTCCCTGTAGCCTTATAAAGGGCCTTTAGAATTGGTACTCAGCTTTCCCAAGCTGAGACAGGGCTACATCCTGAGAACCTGCCCAGCAACAGCGAAAGGTGGCACTCCACACGAAAGGCACACAAGAACTTCAAACGAAAGAAACTGACATACAACTCAAGAGCTGGCTACATATCATTCCGTTCATCAGGCATATGCACAAATCCCACATTCCATTAGGGTTTTAATTGTATATCAGTGATTGTGGAAAAACAATCGTTCCCATAATTACAATACAAACTATAAAAAAACAGATGGAAAGAAAATGGCAGTAGAATTCAAGAAGGTACGTTTCTTTCACTGCTTACAGTGCAGTGATCACGAGACAGCAGCATACACAGCCAAGCGCTTTGGGGTGTCAGCATCCTCCGCTTCCCCTTCACGGGGCCGCTTTCGACTAGTAGTAGGCTGGAAATAAAGGACAAAGGAACAGTGTTTAAAAGAAAATCATTGGCTTCTATGAGATTATCAAACTTCCCCAATATGCTTCTGGTAAATTTGGGGCATTTCATGGGAAACTTCTAATAGTAAGAATTAACATTTCTCGTTAACATCTGAATTCCCACCACACCCCCTCAATTTGGACATGTTTATCCAACGGATATTTCTCTCCCTTGTGGCTTCTGACCACTCAGTGATGGATATTGAAAGTTAGCCGCGTTTAACCAGCCTCCCCTTGGCCTTCTCCTAAATTACGAACTTTAAAGGGACTGCTATACCTTTCACTGGAAGCCCCAAGTCTGGCTCTTTTGTGGGAAGACAATCCTTTTTGTACCTTTGTTGTTTTCCCATTTATAAAATTGGGAGGGAGTGGTGGGAAGAAGGGAGACATCATTCACCCAAACAAGGCAAGACAGGAATTAAGAGATACTTAACACTTAGGAGACCTAGTGGCATAGTGGTTAAAAGCCTGGCTGCTAACCAAAAGGTCGGCAGTTCGAATCCACCAACTGCTCCCTGAAACACTATCAGGCAGTTCTATTCTGTCCTATAGGGTCGCTAAATTTGAGCCTGGAACCTCTTGATTGACAATCCCTAGGTGTGCTTCTCTAGTGCCTTGTAAAAATGCAGTCTGTTTTGTCCAGCCTTCTAAGGGCGCTAGAGCAGATCAAGTTGAAACAAAGTATTACGTTATTCCTAAGAATGATACAATTGCTACTAAGGAGAGTCTTCAAACTCCTCCTTCTTGTGAAATACATCATCTCTTTAAACTTTGTTGTTGTTGTTAGCTGCCATCCTACGGGGCCCCTGACTCATGACAACCTCATACACAATGGAACAAAATGCTGCACAGTCCAACACCATCCCCACCATTGTCTGGGGGTCTGAATGCCGTGATCCATAAGGTTTTCACTGGCTGATTTTCAGAAGTAGATTGCCAGGCCTTTCTTCCTAGTCCGTCTTAATCTGGAAGCTCTACTAAAACCTGTTCAGCATCATAGCAGCATGCAAGCCTCCACTACCGATGGGTAGAGGCTGCATATGAAGTGTGCTGGCTGGGAATCTAACTGGGTCTCCTACACAGAAGGGCAGAATTCAACCATAAACTAGCTGCTGTCGAGTCAACTCCAATTCATGGCGACCTCTTGTGTGTCAAAGTAGAACTGTGCTCCATAGAGTTTTCTGATTTTCTAGAAGTAAATAGCCTAACCTTTCTTCTGAGGTGCCTCTGCGTAGACTCAAACCTCTAATCTTTGGGTTAGCAGCCGAGCACATTAACCATCTGCACCACCTGGGGACTCCCTCTTTAAACTTAGCCTATACTTAATGGCCATCACCAAATACCTGGGTTGGGAGCTGGGGTACAGGCGTCGATTTATTTTCTTCCAAAAGCAGTTCTTGAAACTTTGTCTTCATGTCCTCATCCTGTGAAGAATTTAAAAACACTGGTAAGCTGTGTCTGAAGGACAGAAAGTTCTGAGAAAGACTGGGCTAGAATGCCTTACCCCTGGAAGCAGGGAGGAGGGCATAGATGCTTGGTCTGCCCATCAACAGGCATCCCCTTGCCGAAGCTCCCAAGCCATTCCTTGCTTCTGTACTCCCAGAACCCGGCTTGTCATCTAATCAGCAGTCAATAATGCTCTGTCACCACTGGTTAAATCAAACCCCTATGCCTAAGAGCTCTCAGTAGGTCAAGAGAACCACAGACCTCAGCACCCTGGATCCTGAGGGAGCTGGCAGCAATCAGGAGCCCAGAGGCAGGGCTGGCTCAGTCCTCATAGGGGCTGGTTTCATGCAGCTCCCTAAATCCCTCCAGGAGCCCCCAGCCCCTATCAACAACGAGGCCAAGTTAACCAGGCCATCCTGACAAAGCGATCCTAGCCCCCTACGAAAATTCACCCAGCAGGTGCTATACAAGTCACGAGAAGGCCTTCAAGCCCACGATCTCTCAGAGCTCAGGTCTAAAGAGGAAGGAAGACAGAAAAACAGGCCGTGACTTTACAGGTGGTTCGTGCTACAGGAGAGGGAACTATGAGGGAGGGGAAGGGGCACAGAGGGCCCCTGCCTAGGTGTGTATGAGGGTAGCACCCACCTTCCCAAGTGCTCACTTCTACAGGGCTCAAGGATTTGGGAGCCTGAGAGGTGGCGTGGTGCAACTGTTCCCATCTTCAGGAAGGTGAAACATTCGTAACTAGGAATGTAGGCTTTGGGACTAGCCAGAATCCCAGCTGGGCCACTCACAAGCTGGGTGTGTAGAATTCAAACCCAGAGCTGTCTGATTCCAAAGCTCCATGTACTTTCTCCCCTCTGCCCCCTACTCTAGCCAAATGTACCATGGGGAGGGGGAGCACACAGGGGCAAAGGCCTCCATTGTTCATCAGCAATTAGCTAGAGGATTAATGACAGGTTCATCTATCCTATACTTGTAGCTAGAATCACCTTCAGTCACCCTGTTTCCTGAGTCACTTGGTGTAGCTCCCCACTGCCCATTTTAAGGCCAAGTTGGTCTGGGTTCCACTCTGCTCTCCCATGGCCTTAGGCTCTCCCTTCTCATGCAGTGTCACTCTCAAAGGCCACCCCTTCATTCCCCCCGTACCTGCTCATGCCAGCCTTCCCAGGAATGCTCCCTTGCCTTCCTGCCCATTCACATCATCTATGTTCCTCACTCACTAAATGAACAAATATTTCCTGAGTACTTAAATGCCAGGCACTACAATAGACACACACACAAAAAAAAACCCAAACCCATTGCCATCAAGCTAGTTCTGACTCATGGTGGCCCTACAGGACAGAATAGAACTTGCCCCACTGGGTTTCCAAGGCCATAATCTTAATGGAAGCAGACTGTCACATCTTTCTCCCCTGGAGTGGCTGGTGGGTTCAAACCACTGACCTTTAGGTTAGCAGTTGAATGTTTAACCATGTGCCACCAGGGCTCCTACAATGGGCACAGGGGCCTCCATAGCAGAGGGACTCAATGTTTGAGAATGCTGACCGACCCATCTCCCACATCATCCCCAGGCCACTCACCTTGGGACACTCTTCACACTGTGTAAACCTGTGAGTAACTAAAGCCCCATGGACACTGGCCCCGCCTCATCCTGGGGATGCTCCATACCCTGCCCCAACTTCTACCATGGGTATCATACTGCACTGTAATTACTTTGGTCAAGATTGTCTCCTCATCCAGACTGCCAGCTCCCCAAGGCAAGGACTTACTTTATTCTTCTATGCATCCACAGTGCCAACGGTGCTTGGCACACAAGCTCGTTAACTGTCCTCAGAAAGAATGACTATATGAACAAATGAAACCATGCTGGCAAACCCTTCACGTGACAGACATTCAGTGCTGCCATCAAGAGCTGACCCTACACCTATTTATACGTATGTATAAAGCAAGTCATCAATTATCAATATTAAAAAGGAGCTGATCACATACCACAGGTAGCAATGTGTGTTTGTAAATATCCTTCTTTTGAGATGTATACAATCTATTCAGAAATATTGAATTATAATATGCCTGGAAAGCAAACAAAAGGAACCTTCTAATTCAGGTAATGAATATGAGACAGAAAGTGGGTATAAGGAACACCCCCCAAACTGGACAGTCTACTAATAACAAAACAGAGACCGGAACCCATATCCCCAGTGCTCAGTCCAGTTCCAGGCCCACAAACCCACTTGGTTTCTAGAAAGAAAACACTGAATTTTCCCAAAATTAAATCTAAACTATCAGTAGGCAATGTTTTAAATGGACACCCTGGATCCCTGTCCTCATTACTGTTTGCTCCACCTTTTGCTGCAAAAGAAAAATGGGGACAAAAGAATGTTCAAGCGAGACCCCTGTGGCAGGGCTGAACTTCACCTTTTGCTTGGCTGTTCATAACAGTTTTCTTTTATAAGAAAAATAGGCTGTGCATGTTCTTCAACTTCGGGCAGAGGCAAACCCTGTGCCCAGGCCTAACTGCAAGCAAGCTCCAGTTTTGTCAAGACTAACATGGCTCCCCACCTCCGCACTTGGCCCCCAAGAGATTCCCTCTGAGAACACATTAAAAGAGCCAACAGGCATGTTTCTCTTTTTCATCAAAATTAAATCCCCACATGCAAAGACACCCTTTGTTTCCAAACTCCTTTTCTCCAGGGTCCTGCTGTTTCAAATCTGTGTGGTCTATTAAGCGCTAAATCATCTGACAGACTTCTTCGGGGCGTGGGGGGGGACTGCTGTTTCCAGGACAACATCCCAAACACGCATGTCTGCCTTTTTTTTTTTCTCTTAAGGATTTGTTCTCAATCTGAGCTGGCCTGAGCAAAACTGTTAGGTGTGGAGAGTTCGAAATGAGAATGGGGACCTTCCCAGAACCTCAAAAGCACAGTGCTAAGGCGGGATCTACTCAGGAGCTCCTGGACCAATGTGCCCAGAGGAGCAGTCTCCAGGCATCTCTCAAGCTACCTGGTAAAATTCCCCATTCCCATAGGAAACAGAGACCAAAAGAAAGTTAATAGAAAGGGGCACGGGCCCTGCTGAATAGAACTGCACGTAACAGAAGGTCAGCCATCCATCAGAAAACCTGCCTGATGCTGTAGTTAATTCCAAAACCAAAGAATAGCCCAGCAAAGCCACAAAGGACTTCCATCTCTGGCAGTGCAAATGAGGTCAGCACATTACCTCACAGCAGCCACAACCCCCAGCAGGAACAAAGAGGTAACGCAGACTTGAAAGGCACCAGTGTCAGCGTGGACTAATGGCATGCTTACTCACCATGAACAAGAAATGGGACCTTTTATACCCAATCACTTGCACTTGAGAAATAGTACATTCTCTTCAGAGAGGCTGCCCTCCTTCTCCTCCTCCCTCATTTCCCTAATTTAAAATGAAACATGGCTGGAACATAGCCCACCCCACCTGAGGACAGCTGGGATGGAGCTGCAGAGGGTTAAGCAACCTCTCAAAGGATAGAGCCAAATTGCAGACTGAAAGCAGCCAAGTGGAACCAGGACAGACCATAATGTAAGCTTACTCATCCAAGATCCACATGTAATATCAAAGAATTTGCACCCCCTAAACACACACAAAAGAGCCCTGGTGGCACAACAGTTAAGCACTCAGCTGCAAACTGAAAGGTTGGCAATTCAAACCCACACAGCAGCTCCGTGGGAGAAAAACCTGGCGATCTGCTCCTGTAAAGATTCTCCCATTGCCATCGAGTCAATTCCAACTCGTAGCAACCCTATAGGACAAGGCAGAAGTGCCTCATAGGGTTTCCGTGACTATAATCCTTACAAAAGCAGACTGCCACATCTTTCTCCCACGGAGTGACTGGTGAGTTCAACCATCAACCTTTTGAGTAGTAGCTGAGTGCTTAACCACTGTGCCATCGGGGCTCCTTCTGTAAAGATCACAGCCTATAAACCTAAGGGGCAGTTCTACTCTATCACATGGGGTTACTAGGAGTCAAAATTGACATGATAACACCCTAACAACAACAACAAACACAAAGGCACAAACACATACACATACATACAATACACCTAAAAGCTCAATCTCAAACATTAAACAGACCCAATAAAGCGAACATGTTTCCATCCTCTTCCTCCTCTCTCTGAAGCACAGTTCCAGACACACAAATTATCCCCAGTACTTTATGCTACTGGGCACTGCCCGACACCCACCTGGAGCCACGAGTGTCTCAAGGCATCTTCTGTCGTAAAACGCTCCTTCGGATCCACTACCAACAACTTCTTGACTAGGTCCAGAGCTAAAACAACAAGATAATTTAGCTAAAAACAGTGCAAAGAAAAATACATTAAAATAGCAATATTAAAGGCTGCCACAAGCATAGGCCAACATCCAGAGAGAGGAGAGAGGGTCTGAGATCATGGTGAAACCACCAGAAGTAGCAGGTAGGGCCCCTAATTCTCCTCACTTCATTCTTCAGTGTACAAGAACTTCACAACTTCTTGGCTCTATGTTCCTGCTGTCCTTGCTGGACTCAAGTTCAAACTAATTAAAGCTGAACTTCCACCCAATTCTAAGATACTCAGTATGCTTAGCGAACTCTCCCTGAGACCCAGAGACTAATGGTAAGAGTTCCTCAGCCAGAGAGAAGATCCCAGAACTACAGGCTTGTCAGAAATACAGCTTGTCTACTCCCCCAAGGAACAACTGGAAGGTGGCTTGTATACTGCAACAATAGTTTTCCTTAAATAAACATTCTGACATTTAACACAATCATCTATGTTACATTGTTTGGCAATTCCTTTTAGCTGTCTACTTTTTTCTTCTGTGAGTTACAAAGTTGCAATTTTAACTTATAAACCACTAATTATTTTAGCTCTTAGATGCTTACTTACTGAAAAGAAATCTTACAAGTCAAAGTTACTTATCATGGTGAATTTAAATAGGTACCAGGCACTTGTGTACATTATACTTGCTATTAGGTGCCTTCCAGTTGATTTTTGACTCATAGCAACCCCGTGAGACAGAGTAGAACTGCCCCATAGGGTCTTCTTGGCTGTTATCTTTACAGGAGCAGATCACCCAGTCTTTCTCTTGCAGAGCAGCTGGGAGAGTTCAAAACGCCAACCTTTCAGTTTGCAGCCAAGCACTTAACCATTGCGCCACCAGGGCTCCTCACACTTAACCCTCACAAAGACCATTAGAGGTAGGAGTGATTGAGCCCCTTTTACAAATAAGGAAATGGAGACTCAGAGAGGTTAAGTAACTTGCTCCAGTTCACAAGGCTAGGAAGTAGCAGATCCAGGAATTAAGCCCAGGTCAGCCTGGCTCTGAAGCTTAGCTCTTAAAATCTTTGCCTCTCAGATGGTGCAAAACTAACAATAGAAGAGGAGAACAGAGCTGACAGGAGAAAACATCACTGAATTTGAAAAGAAACTTCCACCAAAGCACACACACATTTTAGCAAACCACAAACTCTTAACCCTTTCGTATCCATACCCTTCTCTGAGACCTCTGCCCAGACTTCAGGAATGAAGTTGTACTTTCCACTGGTGATCTGATCCTTCAGTGACACTTGAGTCTTATGCTCAGAGAAAGGTGGATACCCACTAAGGCTTAATATTGGTAGAGAAAGAAAGGAAAAGAAATCAAGAGGCATTCTCAGTAGCATTTGGATACACAGATTTCTTAATCAGGTTAATGAAAAATCAGAGTTTTCTTTACATCAATGGTCAAAGATGACCTAAATTAGAACAAGCTCTCTATCTGGACACATTTTGGATTTCATCTTATTACCTCCAACCAGACTGTGAAGCAATGAAACTTTTCTTACCAAATAAAAAGAATAACTCCTAAACTCCAGCAGTCCACAGCACGGTTATACCCGCCAGTCCCAAAGGAAACAAGAACCTCGGGAGCCAAATAGGTAGGGGTACCACATAATGTTCTCATGAGAGAGGTCTCCCCCAAAATCTTGGACTGCCCAAAATCAGTAATCTAAAATTAAGGACAAAAGGGAAAAATGTTTAAGTGACATCATAAATTAAGAAATTAACAAGTCTGCCAGCACCAAAAGACATGCCGGCTAGATCAGTTTCCATCGTACAGTTCATACCTAACATTGATCTAGAATCTACAAGTCCTTGTCTTTGCATTTAAGGTATTTATTTAAATTTTGCTTAATTTTTGTTGCTGAGTCAAGGAACCTCAAGACCCAGGTTTTCCAACTTATCTATGTTCTCTGTAACCTTACAAAAGATTTATAACCCTTCTGTAAAGACACAGACCCTCTAGAATTCTAATTAGTTATGCACAGGTCTTCTAAGACCTGCAGTTCTCAACCATGGCTGCACAGTAGAATACCTGAAAAGCTTGGAAAAACTGCTTATACCTGGGTCCCATCTTTGTTCTTGTTGGGTGCTGTTGAGTTGATTCCAAGTCAGTGACCCCATGTGACAGACCAAACTGCCCTGTCAGGGTTTTCTTGGCTATAACCTTTATGGAAGCAGATTGCCAGGTCTTTCTGCCACGGAGCAGCTGGGTGGGTTCAAATCGCTAGCCTGTTGGTTTAGCAGCCAAGCACTTAAACACTGTGCCACCAGGGCTCCTTGGGTCCCCCATTCAGCGATTCTGATTTAAGTGGTCTGAGGTGTAGCCTGGGTGTTACAATTTTTTTTTTAATTTGAACAGGAGATTTCTAAAATGAAGCCAGACTTGAGAAGCACTGCCTTAGACCAAAGCAGGGGATGTAACTCATTCATCCATCTAGACTTCTCTTTCCTCCCTCAGAGCGCAAAAGTGGCTTGTACACAGCAGAACACAATAAATGCTCATTAGGATCTGGGCTGGAGCAATACCACCTGATCTCTAAAATTAATTGCTAAAGTGAGAAGGTTGGATTCTCAACCTCGTTATGCTCCCACTATTTATCTGATCATTTAAAAGGCAGTTTCCGAACAGAAATCTGCTGGAGTGGTAGCATACAAAACTTAAATCTCTTACCTTTATAAGACAGTCCTCTTTCTGCGATGAGAGTAGAACATTCTCTGGCTTTAAGTCCCGATGTATAATGCCATTTTCATGAAGGTACTATACAGAAAGGAGGCACGACCCTTAGATTTACCGAGTAGTACGTAAACAGTGACAAGAACCAGCACCACACACCTCTTAGAGCTGGACTAAGTTGAAAGCCATGTTATTCCTACCCATATTTCCAAAATTCCCAGAACACTGCTGGATAATGAGGTTGTTGTTTTTGTTAGGTGCCGTCGAGTCGATTGTGACTCATGGCGACCGCATGTGACAGAGTAGAACTGCCCCATAAGGTTTTCTTGGCTATAATCTTTATGGAAGCAGATTGCCTGGTCTTTCTTCCACGGAGCCACTGTGTGGGTTCAAACCACCAACCTTTCAGTTAGTAATCGAGCCCTTAACCATTTGCGTCACCAAAGCTCCTTAGATAAAGGGGTTACTGTTGACAAATTTGTTTTCAAGATAATCTTAAAATAGAAAAAAAAAGTTAAAAAGGCAACTTATGACAATAAGCCTTTTTATTTCACTTTGCAAGATAATAAATATCCCTCTACACTGGCAGAAACGTAAAGTGTCAATTTTAATAAAAACGTAAATGGGTGACATAAAATATTTTGTGAGCATACTAAAGTAACCATAAAAATTCTACCAAAATGATATATTTAGTTATTCTAGCCCTAAGAATAATATTTTTAAGGGGAATTTGTAAAATACACATATTTATAAAATATCTGTAAAATACCCAGAGTTAACATACTCGTTGATGCAAAGACTGACTTTTCTCGAAAACTCAATGGTGTGAAATAGTGTTCACATAACAAAGAATACACCAAGAAACAATGTATGATGTCAAATTTCTTTAGAAAAAAAAAATTTTCTCACATTCACTGATCTGCACACCCAATCCATCCTAATGTTCTTTTTTTTTTTTAAATTGTGGTAAATATTTAAGTAACAAAACATTTGACATATCAATCTTCGTAAGTACTCTTCAGTGACAATAATTATATTCATCATATTGTTCAACCATCACCCTATCCATTTCCAAATTTCCTAGAAGTTCAGTGTCCTAATCCTAATATTCTTGGTTACTAAGTACTTTAAAAAAAAAAAAACCCGTTGCCATCATATTATTATTAGGTGCCGTCAAGTCAGTTCCTTTGCTATCATGTTGATTCCAACTCATGGCAACCCCGTGTGTTACAGAGTAGCACTGCTCCATAGGGTTTTCTTGGTTGTAATCTTTACAGAAGCTGATTGCCAGGCCTTTCTTCCATGGTGCCACTCGGTAAGTTCAAACTGATAACCTTTAGGTTAGCAGCTGATCACAGACCGCTTGTGCCACCCAAGGACTGTTAAGTATTTAAAAACTAAAAAGCCAAACCTGTCGCTGTCCAGTCAATTCTGACTCATGATGACCCTACAGCACAGAGTAGAACTGCCCCATAGGGTTTCCAAGGCTGTAAATCTTTACAGAAGCAGACTGTCACGTCTTTCTCCTGTGGAGCGGCTGGTGGATTCAAACTACAGACCTTTCAGTCAGCAGCTGAGCACTTAACCAGTGCACCACCAGGGAGGGAATAAACCAATAAGAGAGTGAAGCACTGGTTAGGTGACAGCCACCACTAAACCATGAAACCTGTGTTCATGCGTTTCAATCTTCTCTGGATGCCCCTCTGGCCAAGTGCAAAAATTCTTTCTGAAAACTTCCACTGGGAAATGGACCTAGTAAAGCCCCTGAGGGGGGCAAACCCAGGTGGATCAGCCTCAGGAAAATCTCCCTCAGTCCTCACTCAATGTACTTCTGCCAATCTGTTTCAAGCATGGAGTGAGTGTTCAATGGAAGAAAGTTTGGCAGGGAATCACCACAACCAAATTTGGTTTATGATTTCTAATGATGATGGTTGTACAACATGATGAAAGTAATTAATGTCACTGGACTGTGTATGTAAAAAAAAAGAGATGGTAAATTTTTTGTTATATATACACTCACCACAATAATTTTTTTGTTTGTTTTGAGAAATGGTGACGTTCCTTGAAGCAGGGTCCCACCAGCTGTTCATTCATCCAACCCCCTCACAGAATTGAGATGAGAAGGCAGTGCACACGCCCTGCCCGCCTACCTGGTGCAGTTTGCAGGACCCTGCACGTGAAGGGAACACCTAATATACCCTCCCATCTGTCCCAACAGCCCCAAGCTGACAGCCTGACCCTCATACCCACCCAGCTCCCACCCTGAAAGCTACAGAGGATTTTTACAAAGATCAGGCAGAAGTAGAGATCAACGTTCCTCCAGAAACATGTCCGAGCTAAAGGGAGGGGATGTGCGACCTGTGTTTAATTGTTTTCATTCCCCTTCTTACTGTCTCTTAAGCTTCACAGTGACCGCTTTCTCATCTGAATCAAACAGAATTTTTTTTGCCAAGAAAAGAACAACAAACACAGACTGACTCTCTTCTCTTTGAATTTTAATCCACAGTTATGCAATTTCTGCCTAACTCAAGGAGTAATTCACCTTAAAGAAAACACGTTGTCAATAGAACTCAAGGCTTCTCTACCTGTACAGCCAGGAGCATCTGGTAAAAATAGAGTTTGCAGGTAGCTTCTTTCAGGCGTCTGTTCCCCACCACCCTGTCAAACAGCTCTCCTCCTTCCATCCTGAAACACACAGGCAAAGTAAATGATTCATTCCTGGAGGGAAATTCACTTGGATGGAGGATAATAGTATGAACACAACAAAGTCATTAAGAGAAGCACGGAGTTGCCATTTTTGTTCACTCTTGACTCCTAGGTTTAAAGTCAATGATGTAAAAAGCCTCTTCCATAATCAGATGTCCCAGTAGGAAACAAAGGATCAGGGAAGACAGAAGCAGTGTGCAGTGGGCATTGGAGACACTTGGGGAGCTTTAAAAAATCTGATTCAGTAGATCAGTGGTGGGGCCAAAGAACCTGTATTCTTATCACACAGCCCTGGTGATTTTGAGGCTGATGCAGAAGTGCAAGCATACGCTTATAATCAGGTAACTGGGGTCTGAACCCCAACCCTATCATTTCCCAGCTGTGTGACTTTGGGCAAGCTATTTTACCTCTCTGAGCTTGTTTGTTTTGTGCCTCTTAACACAGGGATGATACCACCTACCGTGATAGTTGTTGCAAAAATTAAGAGATAACTGGTGTAGCTCAAACACCTGGCACAGCAAGGGCATTCAATCCCTCCTTTTCTGGGAGTGGAGCTAAAAATAATAACCCAGCTGTAAGGCTGTTGTGAAGGTTAAATGATCCATGTAAAGTGCTTAGAGCAGTACGCGGCTCACAGTAAGTGCTTAATAAATATCGGCTGTTGTTGTTAGGTGCCATCAAGTCCATTCCAACTCATAGAGACCCCATGTGACAGAGCAGAACTGCCTCACAGGGTTTTCTTTATGAAAGCAGATCACCAGGTCTTTATCCCACAGGGACCACACAGGGCGGGTTCAAACTGCCAAACTTGAGGTTAGCAACCAAGCACTTAACCATTGTGCCACCAAACCAAAAACCTGTTGCCATCAAGTCGATTCTCACAACGAATCTATAGGACAGAGTAGAACTGCACCACAGGGTTTCCAAGGCTATAATCTTTACAGAAGCAGACTGCCACATCTATCTCCCACGGAGAAGCTGGTGAGTTCGAGCCACCAAGCTTTTGATTAGCAGTCGGGCGCTTAACCACTGTGCCACCAGTGCTTCTACTGCACCACCAGGACTCCTTAAATACTGGCTACTGTTATTTTATTATTATTAAACTGTGTGAACTAGATCAAGTCAGGTAACAACCTCCTATTTGATAGCAATAGATATTCCCTTTAAGCATCAGGAGAGCCATCCAATCTCTCCTAGTGCTGTGATTTACTAAATAATCTTTAATGGTCAACCTGCATAGCCACCGTCTGACACCCAGGAGCAAAGTATTTCCTTCCTGCCATGACAGCCACTCCCAGAAACACATTTATGCATGAACAGCCATCAAGACAGGCCTCTTCCAAGAATGAGACAGAAAAGTATTCTGGTCACACCAAATAAGACAGGACTCCATGGCCATCAAAGTAAAGTAACAAGATATTGGAAGATACTCAGGTGCCACCAGGCCACTTGGGACTTTGATCCCGAGCAGAGAGGTCTACTTGAACAGGTATTTCAGAGTAATATTACTGACCCATGACTGAGCACCTATGTGTGCCCGGTACTCTGCCAGAGGCTTTCCATTTCTTGGTGCATTCAATCCTTACAACAACTCCGCATGTGGTGGTATCATTGATATCCCCATTTAACACTAAGAAAACAAGACTCAGGTGAAGCAAACTCACCCGCAGGTAGATAAAGAGCTTGTTGTTTTTGCTAGGTGCTGTCGAGTCGATTTTGACTCATAGCAACTCCATGTGACAGAGTAGAACTGTCCCATGGAGTTTTCTTAGCTGTGATCTTTACAGGAGCAGATCGCTAGATCTTCCTCCCTCAGAGCAGCTAGGAACGTTCGAATCACCAACCTTTCAGTTAGCAGCCAAGCACTTAATCATTTGTGCCACCGGGGCTCCTACAAAAACCAAAGCAAAATCCATTGCCATTGAGTACATTCCAACTCACAGCAATCCTATAGGACAGAGTAGAACCACCCCATAGGGTTTCCAAGGATTGGCTGGTGGATTCGAACTGCCAACCTTTTGGTTAGCAGCCTAGCTCTTAACCACTGGATTCAAACCCAGGCCTCAGACTCCAGACCCAGGGCCAGGAGGCCCTCTGCCACCTGCCTTTAGAAACCCTGCAGGGATTTTAGAATTTCTACTAATCCCCCCGACACACATACACTTTGTGGGCCCCTACTACCACCACATACATACATTGAGGACCCTTAGGAGAAAAAAATGCAAGTCAGCACTGGAATCTTTGGTGACTTATAAAGCATTTAAATGTAAATGAAAATTTAAAAGTTTACTACTTACAATTCCAAAACAATATAATAATCTTCTGCATCAAAAAAGTTTTTAATCTTGATGATGCAAGGCTGAAAAAAGAGAAGGAAAAAGGAAAAGTAGTCAGAAGCTCCCTAGAGGAAAACCACAACAGCATGGAACTTGGGACATCTGCTTAGAGGGTCAGGGAGGCCAAGACCAGGCATGTGGCCTCCTGCCTTGGGATACTTTGAAGTTACATGCAGGGGAGAAGGCAGAACAGAATCTAGCTGGCTCCTCAGAGAGGATGTGCAAGAAACTCTCCACCCCTCTAAGGAACCAGCTTATATTTCATACACAGGGATGATACCCAAGAAGGCAGGCCAAATCTCTTCCCCAGCCCTCCTCCCCACACCCAAGAGCAGAGGTACACAAAGGCAGCCTAAGGAACCTGACAAGTAAGTTAATAAAATCAGTCCAGGTGGAGACTTCGGCCACACCTCCTGACAGCGGTGCTATTCAGCTCTAGGCAACTGGAACCACTGGGGAATGGGGGACCCATGTGACAAGATCCTTCCATTTTTTAAGGGAAGAGGGAAATTCTAATTTCGTAAGAACTCAAAGCACACCTGTGTGTGTGTGAGGGGGGAGTCTCTCTCTCTCTCTCTCTCACACACACACACACACACACACACACACACACACACACACACCCCTATTGCTGACAATTTGCAACCTCTGATCAACATGAGGGGCATAGCAGAATCTTGTGGGTAAAGGAGAGCAGGACTGTACAGTTTGAAATGCATATTTATTATTATGATTTTATACCTAGAAAGCACTTCTATTGTTTTCACAATATAAAGAACAGACAAAGTCAGTGGTAGTGGTGGTGGATGTTAGCTGCTGTTGAGTCAGCCTCTGAATCACAGTGACTCCAATGACAATGGAACAAAATGCTGCCTGTTTCTGTACCATCCCCATGACTGGACCATTGTGATCCATATGGTTTTCAGTGGCTGATTTCTGGAGGTAGACTGCCAGGTCTTTCTTCCTAGTCTGTCTTCATCTGGAAGCTCTGCTGAAACCTATCCAGCATCATAGCAACACACAGCCTCCACTGACAGACGGGTGATTTGGTGATTACACTAGAGACACACAACCCAGCAGAAAAGGGAACTGTGGTTAAATCAGAACTGAAGGGGAAGAGAGCTGCAAGATTTTCAGGTTTTACATTTAAAAGAAATAGTCCTGGTGGTGCAAATGGTTAAGTGCTCAGCTGTGAACTAAAAGGTTGGAGGTTCAAACTCAACCAGCAGCTCCGCAGGAGAAAGACTTGGCGATATTCTTCCATAAAGATTACAGCCAAGAAAACAGTATGGGGCAGTTCTACTCTGTCACATGGGGTCGCTAGGAGCTGTAACTGACTCGACACACGTAACAGCAACATTTAAAAGGGTGGCAAAACTTGCCAGTCATCTTCCTACAAAACAAATTCCATCACACCCACTGCTCTGATTAAGATCCTCCACGTGGTACCTTCTTTCCCATGATGAACTGTTATAAAGCAGTAAATCAGCATATCACTGCCCCCCTAACACTGATGGATCCTGGAAACATAATGCTGAGTGGAAAAGGCGAGTTACAAAGACTTCATTGAGTAGGATACCATTTTCATAAGGCTCAGAAACAAGCAATCAAACACTATACTGTTCGGGGATGCACACTGTCATGGATTGAATTCTCTCCCCCCAAAAATGTGTGTAGCAACTTGGCTAGGTCATGGTTCCCAGTATTGTATGATTGTGTTATCTCATGTGATTTCCTTATGTGTTGTAAACTCTATCACTATGATGAGATATGTGATCTCCTTATGTGTTGTAAATTCTGTCACTGTGATGAGGTTATACTGATGAGGTTGACAAGATTACAAAGTGTCTTAATGCAATCTCTTCTGAGATATAAAAGAGAGAAGTGAGCAGAGACACATGGGAACCTCATAACACCAAGAAAGCAGTGCCAGGAGCAGAGCACGCCCTTTGGACCTGAGGTTCCTGCGCAGAGAAGCTCCCAGACCAAGGAAAGACTAATGCATCACAAGAGCCTTTCTCCAGAGCCGACAGAGACAGAAAGCCTTCTCCTGGAGCTGATGCCCTGAATTTGGACTTGTAGCCTACTGGACTGTGAGAGAATAAACTTCTTTTTGGTAAAGCTATCCACTTGTGGTATTTCTGTTGGAGCCGCACTAGATGACTGAGACACACACATATGTGGTTTTTTTAAATAAGCATAGGAAGGATGAACACAACATTCAGGATAATGGGGTTCCTGCTGGGGAGAGGCAACAGGTACGAGTGGGAGAAGCACGCAGGTGGCTTCAACTGTATGGTCAGGCTTTCATTTAAGTTGGACGGTGAGTTCAAAGATGTTCGTTTTATTAGTTTACTTTAAAACATATGTTGTTACTGTGTGCTGTCAAGTCGATTCCAACTCCTAGAGATCCTATGCGTCAGAGCAACACTGCCCCATAGTTTTCTAGGCTGCCATTTTTAACGGAGCAGATGGCCATGTGTTTCTCCCGCAGAGCCACTGGGTGGGTTCGAACTGCCAACCTTTTGTTTACAGGTGAGCGTGTAACAATTGCACCACCAGAGCTCCTTTTAATACATAATAAAACAAAAACCCTGTCGCTGTCAAGTCAATTCTGACTCATAGTGACCCTACAGGACACAGTAGAACTGTCCCATAGGGTTTCCAAGGCTGTAAATCTTTACTGAAGCAGACCGCCACATCTTTCTTCCATGGAGCAGCTGGTGGGTTCAAACTGCTGACCTTTCAGTTAACAGCCGACCTTTCAATTAACAGCGAAGCACTCAACTACTCTGCCACCAGGGCTCCTCATATAATATATACTTATCATAAATTATTTTATATATGTCACATATCATATAATTTGTAAATGTTTGAAGGAAGAGAGGGAAGTAGGGAGAGAAGGAAGAAGACCAGAAATAAGACCTTTGGCTCCTTGCTGCCCAGAAGCTAAAATCCAACTTCTCAGCAGGGTTCACCATGCCCTTCATGAGCCTGTCCCCTATTCCCAACTCCAGCCTCATCCTGCCTTCCACCCACCACCTCCACATCAACCTCACCTACTGCTCCTGGTCCCATGTATCCTCCTGTCCAGACCACAAAACGCTGCCCACCTCAGAATCCCTGCACTCTTTCCCAGTGCCACACCTTTGCTCATGCTACCCTCCTACCTAGTGGCCAGCCCTGTAAGCACACTTGGCCTCACGCCCCAGGCCCATGCTCAAACATCCCCTCAGAGTGTGTCTGCTCTCCCTACAAAGGTTCTGATGTCTGTCAATCAACACTGTACCTTAGGATCTATGTCCCAGCCAGACTCTGAGATCCAAGAGGGCAGAGAAAAGAAACTAACACGCACCACAGGTATCCTTTCCCACCAGGCACTGCACGAGATGACTCAAGTCTTACTGATCTTTCTAGGCCCAACACCCAGCATAGTGACTGCACACAGGAGATACTCATATGCTGCAGGATTAATGGCAACAATAACAACAGCCGCACTGCTTACTGAGGGTAAAATTCTGTGCTAGCCTCATTGTAGTCATGGAACACATGGCTGTGGTGGCCAGGCTGAGAACAAACTGGTTCCATGCCTCCTTAACCTATGATCATAGTACACTACTCCGCTCTGCAGTGAACAATTTTTCTTGGCACAATAATGAAAACACCGAATATGCATTGTAGTATTACGTTAAGAAAATTAGAAAAGAAATACATAGGGTAAGAGAGCTAAAATCCTCATATATCGTAACAGGAAGGCAAGAGACTACCTAAAATCGGTAAATCCAGAGACAATAGTTTATATGGAAATAAATTCTAAAAAAATAGCTAAAGGAGTTTTAAATGTTTGTGGGGAGGATGATTGGGGGGATAAACAGCTGCTAGTTTGTGTAATAAATCTTTTAGCACTATTTGACTCTTTAAATTACATACATGTGCTATCTTGAAAAATTTTTTTTGAAGAGAAGGTACACATGGAAAAGGAACAGAGGAAATAAAAGAAGCAGAAAGAAAGGGAGCTGTTTGGTTCTGCTTGGCTTCATAATGAGCAGTGCCAGCTCCCAGAAGGAGTCCTCAAAAGTCTGAGGCTGGCATGGTGAGCTATCTCTTCTCATCTCTGCTATCTCTAGGGTTACTGAATGGGGCTATCACAACGGAAAATATCCTCTGCCAGGAACCAGAAGCCACTAACCCAGATCCTCCACTTAGGTCAGAGAGGGAAGAGAATTCAGGGAATTACACATTTACCAAACATGTTCTCTGTGCTGAAAGCTTTAAAAGCATGTCTCACAGAATCCTCGCACTGACCGTGTAAAGTACAAGTACCCTTATTGTCTCCATTTTACAGATTAGGAAACAGAGGCTCTGAAAAATGAAATGACCTTACCAGAATGTCAGGGCCAGGAGATGGGATGGGAAGCCTGTCTGTATCCCCACTAGACTGAAGCTACATAGGAGGCGGGGTGTCAAGTCTATCTGTGCTCATCAATGCCCAGGACTAGAAACAGCCCAGTGCCATGGGTGTTTGATAACTGACCAAATCAATGTTCAACTCCAAAGGCCAGGTTCCTGGCCACTGGGCTCTAATCACTATCCTCAAACATCAAAACACATCCATGAGCCCACATTTAATTCCCAAGGGCACCACGTGCCCTTATAAATTACTAAGAACTATCTCCAGGAAACTTTTTTAGGGTTCCAAATTCCTCTCTATTGCAGTGGACATTGTATTTATATAAATGTTATGTTTGGAGATTCTGTGACATCAGCGAAAATTCTCTGGAAATTCTAAGTTTTTATCTTAGGGGTAGATTGGATATAACACCACCACTCTTTAAGGAGAGACTCCAGGTCCCTTGGAAAAAGAAAGTTCACAAGGGAATTAGAAGAAAGTCAAGCAGGAAAGTCAGTCATTCAGATTCTCACGGGTTTTAGGTTCTACCCACTGAGTTCTAAAGGAGCCTGTTGAATTCTTGTGCCACTGGCAAAAATTTTATTAGTTTCTATTTGTTAATTGGCAGTTTGAGGAGGTAAGAGAAGGGAGAACTATTTTTGTTGTTTGGGGGTTAAATATTAGAATAAGATAATCCTTATCTGGGCAGTCGGGAGGTGTCATCTCAAGTTTAACTCCAGTGCTTACCTAGCTAGGTCACGGTTTCATGTGTGCCTGTGAATTAATGAAGGAACTAAAAGAACCAATAAAAAGGAAAAAGGGGATGGAATCAGTCCTATGACGCTGTTTTTTCTCACTGTTTTAATGTTAGACACACTTTCCATTGAGACTAGGTCGCCACTGCACAGCAAAAAAACATTTACACCCAGTAAGGCCACACACACAAAAAAACCTAAACCAGTTTCCATCGAGTCAATTCTCACTCATGGCAACCCCATGTGTGTCCGAATAGAACTGTGCTCCATAGTTTTCGATGGTTGTGATACTTCCGAAGTAGATTGCCAGGCCCTTCTTCCAAGGCACCTCTGAGTGGACTGGAACCACCAACCTTTCAGTTAGTAGCCAAGCATTTAACCATTTGTGCCACACAAGGACTCCAATAAGGTCACAGAAATCATTAAATCAGATATAAGGACAGAAAGTTCTCATACTTATTGGATACCCTTGGATTTATTTGGTTTATTCCAACTAAAGTGGAAATCAGCATCCTTAAAAAGTATTTAAAGATGCTAAAACATCAGGTAAAATTAAACCAAATTTACTAGAATTAGCATTGTCTTCCCAAACAAAACTGTTTGATCAAATTTTAGGTAAAGCTCTTCTCAGCTAAGGAACAGCTAAACACACATACACACACACACACACACACACACCCACCCACACACATTAAGCAACCCAGATTAATACTGGCTTTATTATACTGAAAAGCTTTGGGCTCTTCTCATGTAGAAGCAGTCACCAGATTATGAACGAGTTCCATTCCTAAATCTGTCTTTAAGTAGACTTTGTACGTAAGTTGGCACAGTTAGGTATGGTTCATATCTAATGTCAGTTAGTCAAATGTCTATCTTACTATATGCATAAAAAACATGAAAGAAACACTTCCAGATACACTAAAACATCTGTAACATAATAATACAGTAATAACAATGTTTCGATGCATGTAGCAAAGTAGCAACCATTTGTTATTATGAACCACTGTATGTACCTTGAATTTGTAATATAATAGGCTTTAGGGAGGATGGTTCATAACTACAGGTAGGACATTCATAAACCGGGGAAAGCCTGTTTTGAAACTGATTTTCAAAATGACTCATATTTTACAGCAATACTTACATGATTTAGCTTTTTCAGAATTTCTATTTCTGTTTCAACATTGAGAGCTGGATCCTTTGATAAATAAAATTAGAGTTTATTAGTAATAATAATAGCCAATATTTTTAAAATATTTACAGTTAAGTTTAGAGACCCAGAGAGGGTAATGAATTAAATAACTCACCTAAAAACACTATGCAAAGGGCTTGGCAAACAGTTAAGTATTCAATAAATGGTACTAACATTACATGCCAGGCCCTGTGCCAACTTTTTCATTCGCAAGGATCATCTCATTCAGGCCTCACAATCCCCAAGTGAACTGGGTTCTATAATTATCCCCATTTTATATGTGGGGCAACTGAGGCTCGGAGAAAGGAAGTCACTTGCCCCAGTTCTATTACCAGAAACAAATCTGTTTCCAATGTTTTCATGCAAAACTGGTAAGCTCTAGTTGTCTCATTAGCTGTAGAACTGTTTACATTCATAAAAATGTAAGACAAACAAAAAATATGGACAAGAAGGTATTTAATTAAGATGCATGAAGAAAATGTCAAGTCAGATTTCCAACAACAGAGCAGGCACAGGTTCCAACTTCAGCTGCAGGCTAACATATTTACTCCCATTTTGGAGGGAAGAAAATACCTACCAGATTCTTCCAAGGAGAGAATGTTTCAGAGTACTGAAGCTGTTCTCCACTACAATTCCAAAAGGATGAATCGAGTAACTCAACCTCCTGGGCTACACCCTCCACAAGCAAAGAGGATATAGAATTACATATTTATGTAAAAAAGGATTTTGGCTCAGAAACCCAGATGTTTAATTTTAAAAGCCTGCCTCTTCCTGTAAGCCGTTAAACTCATTACCAAGTCAGGGTGTACTCTGATGATAGAGAGGTCTAAAAGAGTCCAGTATGATTTGCAGAATGAAATTAAAAAGGAAAATTTTCTTCCAAGTCATTAAGAATCTGCTAGGTATTTTCTTCCCCCAAAATGGGAAACATATCCAAAATCACAGAGGAAAAAGCTATAACAAAGTGAACACAGAAAGCAAATTCCTCTTGCCTCGTGAGAATGGCATTGTCTAGGGGGAAAAAAAATTGATCTTTAAAGAATGTTGAAGTATAATAGCCAGAAACAGCTGGCCACAAAGAAAAATGTGATTAGGGACTGCGTTTTACATTACTCGGTTGGCTCATGTGTGAAAAGACCAAAACATTTGGCTGTTTCACCTACCCAGTAAATGTGGACTACAGAAAAATATAATAAAATGAATGTCTACTATATAAAAAATAAATAATTTAAAATAATTTAAATAATTTAAAATAATTTTCAATTAAAATGAAAAAACCCATAAACACTAAGATATGCATTGCCACAATACCCAGCAGAGCAAAGAATTGGTAATTACCTAAATGATCAGCCATCGAAACAGTTGAATAAATTATGACAAATGAAGTTGAGGAAATGGAGACCCAACCATTAAAAAGAATATATTAGGAAAGAGCTTATAATATAATGCATATGTGGAACAGCAAAATAGAAAACTGTATATACGATATGATTCCAACCATCTGAAAACACGAATTCATATGAACAAAGACTAGAAGGAAAGGGAAAACTGAAAACAGCTGTCAGGTTACAGTGGTGGGATCATGGCTCAATTTTTTTTTCCCTAATTTCCTTTCATTCGTTGTAAAAACAGTCTTATAACAACTTTGAACTCAGAAGGAAAAAATCAACTTTCTGCTATGTACATCGTTAAGTACAACCCAATATTTTTGGAAACAAATAATCTATAAGTAAAAGTTTCCAGATTAGTTGAAGATATTAAAAATTTTTAAATATTCTATGATACTCACAAATTCATATATCTGAGCAGTAAGTTTTTCCTGAGATTGAAAATCACCACTCTAAGGTTATTTTGGGAAGTTAAGAAGTGTCAAGACTGAGACTGGAGGTACCCCAGAAAGCATGGCCCCTGGATTCTCTATCAGCCCAGAACTAAAACAATTTCCGAGGCCAACTCTTCAGACAGGGATTGGACTGGACTGTGGGACATAAAGTGATACTCGTGAGGAGTGTGCATCTTAGCTCAAGTAGATACAAGAGACTAAATGGGCAGCTTCTGTCCGGAAGTGAGATGGGAAGGCAGAGAGGGTTAGGAGCCGGTTGGATGGACATGGGGAATCAGGAGTGGAAAGGAGGAGTGTGCTGTCACAGTACGGGGAGAGCAATGTATGTATAAATTTTTGTATGGGAAAAAAGAAAAGAAGTGTCAAGAATAGCTAAATAGCTGAGCTGAGCAGTTACAAACACAGGTTACTTACTGCATCTCTCGCAGAGCCAATAGCAAATTTCCTTTTGCTGATGATCTTTATAGCTACTTTCTTACATGTTTTCCTCTCAAAAGCGAGCTTCACCTCTCCACAGGCACCACTATAGTGAAAAACAGTGATTGTCAGCATATTTTTAATCACCAGAATCACCACTCTTGAGCCTGCCTCAACTATTACAAGCTAAACAGTCCATATAACAACCCTTCCACTGTCTCTCTTTTCCGAGAACACAGTGAAACCTCATCAACATTAAATTTCAACAACACTATATCAGCTCCAAAGTCTACTTTTTAAGCTGAGTGACACAAACTTAAGTCTTACTGTCACTCCAGATTGTGAAATTCTCAGAAAGACACTAAGAACTAATGAAAGAGAAGCTTACCGTATTTTTTCAGAAATAATGTGCCCATGAAAATAGCACACCCACACACATAAAGCACAGCAGAGCTTGCTCACAAAAACAGCAAGGAGGGCTGCACAGTTGGCAAAAACATATAACGCGCATTATTTGTGTAAAAATACGGTGTCCTAGAGGTCAGAGACAGATCAAATAGAATAGGGTCTTCCCTGGTCAAAAATGAATCTCCGAAACAAATAGCAGGAAACAGAAACTGCAAATCAATTACATTTATTGATACACTTCTCTTTCCTTATTCCGTCTTCAAAGGAAACTCATAAGCAGTAGATTCCATGAATTACACCCCAAATAAAATCACAATACATAAGAAAACAAAAGTATTACAGATGATAGTTCTCAAGATGATGAACATAATTAATGTCATTGAATTGTACATGTAAAAAATGTTGATATGGCAAATGTTTTGTTTTATATATGTGTGTGTGTACATATATATTTACCAAAATTTTAAAAATCTGTCTAAAAAACACAAAATATGCATATGAAAAGAAAATTCAAATAACCTAATCACCCAGTCTATAAATATGCATATTTGAAAACCAAGTATCAAGACAAAAATGAAAACTTTTAATAAATGTATTAGTATCATACAAAAAAATAGTACTACAGAAGTAACCTGCTTGGAGCAAACTCTTACACAGATTTGCAATTTATTGGGACACTACTAATGGGGTAGGAATACTACCTAGGTTACTAACCAGCACAAGTTAACCCTAAATGAGCCCCGTTTTCCAAAGCACAGTCAGCCCAAGGTAATAACCACTAGAGTCTCAACCATTCATTATCTGCCAGAAGTCAACTGTTATAACTCTTTTTTTTTCAGCTGTGATAAATATGTATGTAACAAAACATTTTTCATTTCAACATTTTTCACATGGACAATTCAGTGACATTAATTATGTCTGTCATGTTGTTCAACCATCACCATTATCTGTTTATAAATTTTTCCATCATCCTCAACAGCTCACTGTCCCCTAAGTAATGAGTCCCCCTTTCTCCCTCCCTCCCACTCGTCCCTGGTAACCACTAATAAACATTAATCTCTATACGACTGTCTATTCTAGATATTTCATATAAATAGGATCACACAATATTTGTCCTTTTGTGACTGACGTATTTCACTCAGCATAATGTTTTCAAGGTTCATCCATGTGGTAGCATGAATCAGGACTTCTTCTCTTTATGGCTGAATAATATTCCATTACATGTATGTACCACATTTTATTTATCCATTCAATCCTTGGCGGACATTGAGGCTATTTCCATCTTTTGGCTATTGTGAATAGTGCTGCAATGAACATTGTTGCTGTAACTACTGTTTTTTTAAATCTGCTCAAAACACCTTCTCTTTCTTCTGGAAAACAGTCACCTTTTGTCTGGGAAATCCTCCAACTCCATGTAGCTCTAGTGGAGTGTCTACTATGGTACAACCCCCACTCCTAGTGCCATGGGGTTGATAAACCAAAACCAAACCCACTGTCATCGAGTTAATGCAACACTATAGAAGCTGGCAGAATTGCCCCATAGGGTTTCCAAGGCTATAATCTTTACAAAAGTAGACTGTCACATCTTTCTCCCATGGAGCAGCTGGTGGGTTCAAACCACCAACCTTTCAGTTAGCAGCCAAGTGCTTAACCACTATGCCACCAGAGCTCCTTTTATAGGGTTGATAACACGACCAAAATTGGGCCAATTAGGGTTACCCTTGGAAACCCTGGTGGTGCAGTGGTTAAGAGCTACGACTGCTAACCAAAAAGGTTGGCGGTTCAAATCCACCAGGCGCTCCCTGGAAACCCTATGGGGCAGCTCTACTCTGTCCTATAGGGTCACTATGAGTCAGAATTGACTCATCGGTAGCAGGTTTGGTTTGGAATCAAATGCTGATGTTGGGAAAGAACAGTTCTTTCTGCTATGAAGCTGGGGCTCTTGGTCGCCATTTTTCCTCACACATGGAGAGAGTAATGGTAAAGGACACTGTGTGATGTGGTAACAGTGTCTTGAATACTTTCCCTAAGGAAATGGTTCTCAAACTATGATCAGGGAAACTCCTAGAGGATCCAAAGACCCTTTCAGGGGTCCACAAAGAAAAAACTATGTTTCAAACAATACTAAGACATTATTTGCCTTTTCTATCCTCATTCTCTCATGAGCTCACAGTGGAATTTTCCAGAGGCTACATGGCATGTGGTTCACAGCAGACTGAATGAAGAAACAGATATCAGAATCCAGCTATTTCTATTAAGCCAGTATCAAAGGGATTTGCACAAACATAAGACAATGACTCTCTTTTCATTAATCTTTATTTTGGGGAAAATAATTATTTTTCATTAAAAATATTATTTCTCTTAAAAAGTAGTGAGTTTAGTTTTTAAAGAACAAATATTACAAAAATTTCTAATGCAGTAAATATCCATGGATTTAAGCCACATAAAGAAAAGCCCTTTGCTACCATTACTGAACATTTTGATCAAAGATTCTATAGGAAAATCCTGATCAAAAGGGAGAAAAATGAGGAAGAGAATTTCAAAATCTCAATGGAATGCAGACTTTCTGGAGCCATTGAGGCTGATGAAACCCCAAAACTACTGCCTGAAATAATCTTTAAACTTTAAATGTTAAACCAAAATTATTCCCTGAAGTCTCCTTCAAACCAAAAAATAGCTTATCTTAACCAGTAAGGTAACATCTGCTTTGAGCATTGTGCTCTTTTAAAGAATTATCTATGTGAGATCAAACTGACAAGGGCAACTGGAAAGTTTGGGTAGAAAGCTTAAGGGGCAGTGAGTTCAAGATAATGGTGCTGGAATAATTTGGCAAAGTATAGCAAGAATGGTAGCACAACTTGAATATAATCAATGTCACTGAATTGTACATACAGAAATTGTTGAAGTGGTTTATTTTTGCCTGTATATAATTTCACCAAAATCCAAAAATTAGAAAAGCCCTTTGGAGTCCTTAATGATTTTTAAGGGTGTAAGGGGTCCCGGGAAACCCTGGTGGCGTAGTGGCTAAGAGTTACGGCTGCTGACCAAAAGGTCAGCAGTTCGAATCTACAGGCACTCCTTGGAAACCCTACAGGGCAGTTCTACTCTGTCCTATAGGGTCACTATGAGTCAGAATCAACTGGACAGCAGCGGGTTTGGTTTGAATTTTTTGGAAGGGATCCTGAGACCAAATAAACTTTGAGAATTTTGCCCTAGGTTATATACAATTGTTAGTTTCATCTATAAAGCCTCCAGTTCTCAAGATGGCATAAACTCTCAACAGTGGAGAAAATGTAGTAAAAACACAGCTTGGAAGCACCAAAATAATGCCCAGAAGAAACAAAAGATCACATTTTTCAGCACTCAGCATAGAGCCTAGAACACAGCAGATAATCAACGTTTGTTGAACAAAGACCACTCCTGATAGATATGAGGTACATCGGGAATCTTCAAGCTGGACAAGTTCATGCCATGGGTGCTGACCATCTCCTTACCCATGGCAGACATTACTAATCCATCCCAGTGATCTTACTCCAGGTTAGCCAAGACTGTCTCAATCTAAGTCTTCAGGCAGCCACTACCCAGTATGCAGAAATTGTCCTGGCAACAAAACTGAATGGTGATTTTGGGATTTGGGATGTAATCCACTGACCTCCAGATGGGTTGATTGGGAATTTCTTTTCCTCTCCTTTTCTTTCTTTCGTTAATTCAACAAATAATAACGAAAACATGAGACTGGAATGCGCAGTAGCTATCAGGGGAACTAGATGAGTATCTCAGCATTGTTTGTTTAATAAATAATTACTGAGGACCCATCATGTGCAGACTCTGTATTAAAAAGTTACAGTACTAATACACAGTACAGAACAAGATGGGAAGATGAGGCTTTTTAAGTGGAAAAAGTCTGCTTTCAGGCTCAGCCTTTGTCCTGAACAATGTATCAGCAACCGAATATAAACTTGTGGAAAAGATTCTAACTATGTTTCAGGTAAGTTTAGGTTAGCCCCTGAGTGGCACAAATGGTTAAGCACTCAACTACTAGCTGAAAGGTCGGCGGGCTGAATCTACCCAGAGGCACCTCGGAAGACAGGTCTGGTGATCTGCCTCTGAAAGGTCACAGCCTTGAAAACTCTAAGGAGCAGTTCTACTCTGAACACATGGGGTGGCCATGAGTTGGAATCAACTTGGCAGAAACTAACAACAACAACAAGTTTTATATTGTCCTCTGCCCCATCTCCTTTTCACCTCTGCTCACTTTTAACCCATTGCCATTCAGTCAGTTCTGATCATAGCAACCCTATAGGACAGAGTAGAACTACCGCACAGGGTTTCCAAGGCTGTAAATCTTTACAGAAGTAGACTACCACATCTTTCTCCCGTGGAGCAGCTGGTGGGTTCGAACTGCTGATCTTTCGATTAGCAGCCAAGCATTTAACCACTGCGCCACTGGGGCTCCTGCTCACCTCTTGTTCCCCCACAAAAGCTTAGCTCTTTAGCCAGTTCAGTCAGTTGGGCGGACAGATTCTAAGGTAGCCTCCTGTGTTCATGCCCTTGTGTGATCCCCTTTCCCTGAGTGCAGGCAGGACCCTGTGACTTGCTTCTAGCAAACAGAATAAGGCAAAGGTAACAGGATATCACTTCCTTGATGATGTTACATAAGACTGTAACATCTGTCTCCCCTTTGCTGGCTTTGAAGAAGCAAGCTGCCATGTTGTGGGCTGCCCTGCAGAGAAAGCCATGTGGCAAGGAGCTGAGGGCAGTCTCTGGCCAGCAGCTGACATGGAATTCAATGCTGCCAACAACCACCTGAGCTTGGAAGTGGATCCTTCCCAGTCAAACCTCAGATGAGAACCCAGTCCTAGCTGACACGTTGATTGCAGGCTTAGAGAGGACCCAGATTAAGTCATGCCTGGATTCCTTACCCACAGAAATTGGGAGATAATACATACATTGTTTTAAGCCATGAAGTTTGTGGCAATACTATAGCAAGGGATACTAATACACTCAGCAAGGCTGGTGGAATAATGCTAAACCTGTAGGCCCATATTCCACTACGTTTTTAGTTAATATATCAGTGCTACAGGAGGTGGGGATAGAAAAGGGTAACTGGATACATGGACAAAGAGGGCCAGATGTCTAAAAATTACTGCGTTCCTTCCACAATATGGAAGGTGTGTGCCCATCCAGCAACTACATTTCTCAGCCCCTCAATGACACCAGAAATAGTCATGTGACTACTTCTGGCCAATGAAATACAAGTGGAAGGAATATGACTACATCAGGGATGGAGTTTTCCAGAAGTTTTCTCCACATTCTCTAACATCCAGTAGAATCAGAAGACTCTGAAGCCAAGGGACAGCAGGGCCACAGATGGAAGAAGCCTGAGACTCTAAATCACTACAGAGAAGAAAGCTGCCCTTCACCAGGAACACCCACATTTTGTGGTTATGCTGTTGAAATGTGGGGCTTTGCTATGGCAATTAACATTATCCCAACTGATAAGAGTTTACAATCAACCAGCAGGTTTCGCCACTCATAACTGATAGTTCCCACACTTCCTTCTGGTGATCTGGTTCTCCCAGATTTGGAGGAAAATAGTTCTTGGACAATCCTGAAGCACTGGACTACAGAACTTGACGAACTTAATCAAAAAAAATTATTGATGTTAAAATGTATTCAGTGTAGTGAGGGAGACTAAGTAACCAACTATTATAACCGAACATCAGGGCTGTAACCAAGACAAGTGCCTGATTCTACAGGAGCATGGGGGGAGAAACAACTTACCCTTATGGTAGGAAGGGTAGAAGAATGGGGGTCAGGAAAGATTTCAAAGCAGGATGACCTGTGAGCAGAACCTGCAACAATGAGGAATACAGCAAGCAGACCCTAGGGTAAGAACTGCGGACTCTCGCAAAGGCATAGTGGCCTCAAGTACATATACACCAAGACATTATCCCACTTGCCATGTTTCCAGTTGTAGAAATTCCTCAAAAAATAACTACTGAATTATCTTAGGTGAAGAGAAGGACAATACACACTATAGGGGAAGTCAGCACAACTGGACTAAACCAAACCTAAGAAGTTTCCTGAATACAACCAAACACGTAGAGGGACAGAGTAGCAGAAGTGGGGGTCTGGGGACCATGCTTTCAGGGGACATCTAGGTCAACTGGCATAATAAAGTTTATTAAGAAAAAGTTCTGCATCCCACTTTGGTGAGTGGCATCTGGGGAATTAAAAGCTAGTGAGCAGCTATCTAAGATGCATCAATTGGTCCCAACCCACCTGGAGCAAAGGAGAATGAAGAACACCGAAGACATAAGGAAAGTATTAGCCCAAGAGACAAAAGGGCCACATAAACCAGAGACTTCATCAGCCTGAGACCAGAAGAACTAGATGGTGCCCAGCGACCACCAATGACCGCCGTGACAGGGAATACAACAGACAGTTCCTGACAGAGCAGGAGAAAAGTGGGGTGCAGAACTCAAATTCTAGTAAAAAGACTAGACTTCATGGTTTGATTGAGACAGGAGGGACCCTGGAAGACATGGCCCCAGGACTCTCTGTTAGCCCAAAACTAAAACCATTCCCGAGGCCAACTCTTCAGACAAAGATTAGCCTGGACTATGAAACATAAAATGATGCTCGTGAAGAGTGTGCTTCTTAGCTCAAGCAGATACATGAGACTAAATGGGCAGCTCCTGTCTGGAGGAGAGATGAGAAGGCAGAGAAGGTCAGGAGATGGTTGAATGGACACGGGAAATTCAGGGTAGAAAGGAGAAATGTGCTGTCACAGATAGGAAGAGCAACTAGGGTCACATAACAATGTATGTATAAATTTTTTTATGAGAGACTAACTTGAATTGTAAACTTTCACTTAAAGCACAATTAAAAAAAAAAAAAAAAACTCTTGAGAAAAGTATTCAAGGGATGCAGAATAGCCAAAACAATCTTTAAAAAGATGAATAAAGTTAAAGAACTCAGACTTTCCAATTATAAAATTATAAAGCTACAATAATCAAGACAGTGTGGTATTAGCATAAGGACAGACACAGAGACCAACTGAATGGCATGGCATTGAGAGGCCAGAATTAAACCCTCACTTTATAGTTAATTAATTTTTGACAAGGGTGCCAAGTCCATTCAGTGTTGAAAGAATAGTCAAACAAATGGTGCTAGGACAACTGAGTATCCACATGGAAAAGGATGAAGCTGTGTTCTGACCTCACACCATATACAAAAAAAAAAAAATTAACTCAAAATGAGTCAAAGACCTAAATGTAAGAGCTAAAACTATAAAACTCTTAAAAGAAAATGGGTAAATCTTCATGACCCTGGATTCACCAATGGATTTTTAGATATGACAATAAAAGCACAAGCAAAAAAGAGAAAAAATAAATTGGATTCCATCAAAATTAAAAACTTGCACACTTCAAAGGACACCATTAAGAAAGGAAAAAGACAACCCACAGAATGGGAGAAAATATTTGTAAAATCACATATCAGATAAGGGACTTGTATCTAGAATACATAAGGAACTCTTGCAACTCAATAATAAAAACACAAACTAATTTTAAAAATAGGCAAAAGTTTTAAAGACATTTTTCCTAAGAAGATATACAAATGTCCAGTAAGTATAAAGATGCTAGACATTAGTAGTCATCAAGAAAATGCAAATCAAAACCACAATGAGATACTACTTCATACCCACTAGAATGATTATAATAAAAAAGAAAAATAACAAGTGCTGCTGAAGACATGGAGAAATAGAAACTCTTATACATCACTGGTAGGATAGTAAAATGGTACAACCACTTTGGAAAACAGTCTGGCAGTACCTCCAAATGATAAACATAAAGTTACCATATGATCCAGCAATTGCAATCCTAAGTATATAACAAAGAGTTATGAAAACATATGTCAACACAAAAACCTGAACATGAACGTTCACAGAAGCATTATTCATAACAGCCAAATAGTGGAAATAATTCAAATGTCTACCAACTGATAGATATCATGATAAACAAAACGTGGCACATTTAATATAATGGAACATTATTTGGCAATATAAAGAAATAAAGTACTAATAATTGCTACATGAATGAACCTTGAAAACATGCTAAGTGAAAGAAACTATAAAAGACCACATATTGAATGACTTCATTTATATGAAAAGTTCAAAATGGGCAAATCCACAGAGACAGCAAGGAGAGTCATGGTTGCCAGGGGCTAAGGGAAGGGGGTGCAATGAGTAAAAAGTTACTTTTGGGGGTAATAAAAATGTTCTAAAATTGACTGTGGTAATGGTTGCAAAATTCTGTGAATATACTAAAACCATAGAATTGTACAGCTTAAATGGGGAATTGTGTGGTATATAAATTATATCTCAATAAAGCTGCTAAAAAAATTGTTAAGATAAAATTTATAAGGAAAAATTCATTAATTCCCACTGACCATTATCAAATAAATCAATAATATGGCTATCACAAGTAATGTCCTACTGATATTTTATGACTAGATAATGAATGTTTTAAAACCAGGAACCAAAAGCTAACCAATGATAAACGTTTTAGTAAAATATAAATAAAGTATAATTTTGATATGAAAAAAAAAAAATTACCTTCCAAGAGTTTTTGACATGATGTATTCATCTCTTAATTCCTTAGGATAAACTGACTGATCATCTACAGTCAAATCAAAAAATACAAAAACTAAGGAGAAAAGGGCAGAAACAGGTCTCATTAATTCATTCAATAAAAAGAAGATAATTGATTCTATAATTTAATAAACTTCTGGAATATAAGACTATTTAAAATTACATTTAATATGTAACCCTAAAAGAATTATTTAGCTAGGTTAATGCACATTGTGAAATCCTTGGGAAATGATAGTCAAATTTCATCCTTCAGTGGAAATACACAGCATTGCTCTCACCACACTGCACAAAATTCGTAATATAAATATTATTCTTATTCCTTCAGCTTAGAATATTATTCAATTGCACTAATCTAAAATATTCTCACAGATTAGCCCAGCCCCGGAACCAAAAAGCAATTAGTCTGGGCCTAGAAGTAAAGTTCTAGGTAAGTACATATCTCAATAAAAATTAGAACACAAGTCACCA